AAAATTATGTTTAATAATTAAGACAGAGATTTGTAAAAGACAGAAGGAGTCTGAAGAGTTTTTGTGTTTTCCAAGAAAAAAATCAGTGAGGTTCTGAACTATGTTGCTCTTCAAAATTCAATTCTATTTCATTTAATTTAGTTATATAGTGCTCACTTACTAGTGCTAGATTCCATTTTCTGCTTTAATCACTTGTAATCTGACATTTGGTTTATAGGCCAACTGGATGGAATACCAATAACTAAATCCTCTGGTTTTTGAGGTTACGGATTTGTCCGCCCTCTGCAGGGACAAAACTGTTATTACAGGCAGCGTTCATAACGCTAAACTAGACATAACTCAGCAACACTTCCTGTGGATTTCTTCAAAATAAATTATACTACTTTAAATGACTGCAGGTAAACTATTTAACTACCAAAACGACAAATATATTTAATTATCTGTGGTCAACACAAGTAACTCAACAATCTACAGCTGGAGCTATTAGCAGCTAGTTACAAAACAAATGTATATAATTTTAAGGATTTTTATTAAGATGAGGAGGCTAAAATATTCTTAAAAGGGCCAGATCATGTTATTTAAAGCCTTTGAGAGCAAAGGTAGGCAGAGTATATAATGAAATCTTATTGTTGGCATGATTGAGATGTCATTTTATCTTAAATATGAGTTATTTTAATCAGCCTAAATTTATACTCAGAAATGAAGTGGTCTGTTTCAGTAAAGCTCCAGTCACACCCATTCCAACCAAACACACCTACAATGGTGTCTTGGGCAAACCAACTGTTGTGTTGTCCTTGGTAGTCTAGCAGTTAAAGCAACTGCCTTTCATCTTTTGCTGTGTCCTCATGCCAGTTCGACTCCTGGTGTGGGTAGTAATTTATTTAGCCAGCTGAAGCAGGTTCCATTTTTAAAAAATGTTTTAGTTTTATTGATTATTTTCTGCAAAATATTTAGTGTCTCTAAAGATCTTTGAATTTAGTTATTTCCAAGCAGTATTGTAGTTGATACTCTGCTCACGTCACATGGACTCACACAAAGAAAGTAAAAAAAAATAAAAATTTAAATTGTTATTATATTTTAAACTGTTTAAAAAGCTGGCAGGTGTAGCTAGGAAATAAGAAAAAATGTTACTGCTGCAACTGGGAGTCAAACCGGTGTAAGACACCATGAAACATAGGTACTCTAACCACTGGGCTACCAAGTCTCTTACAAAGTGTTAAACACATGTTCTGTCCTAGCCATTCACTGTGGACAGGATGCATGTTTTTTACAGCAGTGTTTTGTCCCTAATGAAGAAGTCATTTGTCAGAACATCCACTCTGGTACAAGTGGAGGTTTAAAGCAGTCATGTAACACAAAGGTCACATTCTAAACTGCAGCACGAAATCAACCACTCTATGCCTGCAACTCGGAGAAAGTGGGCATTACTGACTACTTCCAAGAAAGGTGGGTTCCAGATTGCAGACTAGCTTCAGGGGAGGAGCAGGGCATAATGATGTCCTTGATTTCCATCGAGGCTTGTGGCTGAGACAGGAACAGGAGTATGATTGCAGCCAAAACAGGTTTCGGGGTAATTTTAATGAGGAAATGTCAATAACACATTGTAAAAAGCTCCAAAAAGTTGATTTCCCATGATATGGTCCCTTTAAGCAGTTGTAGATAAGAAAATACCACATTCAGCTGTGCACAACCACCAATGATTCCTGTCAAACCTTTCTTGAGACCTCATTTTAGATCAAACTGCACAAAACACATATGTTTCACTTTAAATCCTGCAAAAGTTTCCGCCATAACGTCTTGCTCTTGTGCACTCCTACAGACATTAAAGATGGCACTCACCATCCTCAGCCCAAGGTTACAGCATTTCCATCCTCTCCATCTGTTTGTTGGCTCAGCATTCCCTCATCAGCTGACAAGACACTTAGACAAATCACATTTACTGTCAAACTAAATCCTCTTGACCTGAAAAGACAGAAATAACCAGAAATTCTCAGAAAAAATGTGTGAATGTGTGTGTGAATGGGTGAATGACTGATTGTGTTGTAAAGCACCTTGGGGGGCTCGAGGGCTCTAGAAGGCACTATATTAAATACGGGCCATTTACCATTTCACCATTTAATTTGAATGCACACCAGAAACAAGCAAATGTGCCTTGAAACGTTTTCATGCACCTGTTGATGTTGGGTATCCAAGACCCAAGGGATCCCCACAAAATAGTCTGTGCTGTGGTTGTCAGGTTAGTGAGATGTATTTTTTATTACATTTATACAATCCCAATAACACATCAAAACTCCATAAAAAGCTATAAGTTAGCTTAAAGTTTGTAAATGATCACGTGTGCGTGTAGGAGTTGTGTTTGGGGTTCCTGGCTAGTCTTGGACACAGGCAAGGGGGTCCTATAAAAAAGTTTGAAAACCACAGCTTTAAATGAAAAATCTTTGCTTCAGCTGTTTATTTGTAAGGGAGTGTGGATTATACACACTTCTGTGCTGAAGTTGGGAAATAAAGCAAAGACTTCTGCCAAAAATATGGAGAACAGCTGCTCTGCTGCATGCACTGAGCCTATAAAAATCCAGACAAATTTCAGAGTCCCCCAGCCTCTCGTTTTTCAGGCTTGATGATCCCACCACAGCTGTCAGACAAACGTACATTTCAAGGTGACTTTATTAATACAAAAAAATTAGATTTATGCTTAACTGGTTAACTTTAAGCAAATGCTGATTCAAGTCCCCATGGGAGTTCTCTTGGTTTCACCTTTCCCTGATGATGCCATGACATATCAAATCAAATCAAATTTATTTATGAAGCGCTTTTCATAAGAATGCAGCTCAAAGCGCTTTACAATATTAACAACAACCAGACAGCAGTCGGTTTCCCACTCCTCCCACACAGATTCACATACAAGATCCGCTTTGTATTTCCCTCCTCCCACACTCAATCCCATCCCAAGCACGCACACACACAGACACACACACACACACACACACACACACACACACACACACACACACACACACACACACACACACACACACACACACACACGTAAAAGAGAAAGGGCTGCTGGCTGAGTGTAGATGTAGTAGGAATAAATCAAGACTGCACCGGGAGCAGCAGGATCGGTAGCAGTAGCCTGGGCAAGAGGAGGCACGAGAAGCACCCCAACCACCACAGCCAACCGCTGCCCCCGGGTCAGCCGGCCCCCACAGAGGAAACACTGGTTTACTAATGAGACTAAGATAACAAGTTAAGAAACAAATTAAACATAAACAGCTGATAAATAAAAATCTAAATAAAACACACAGATAAAAGATAACCAAGCAGAAACATATAATTAAATATATAAAAATATTGTACAACAGATTATTAATACTGGTTAAAACTAATAATTATTACAAGTTAAAAATTATATATAAGAAAATATGCGTCATTTAAGTATAAAACACTAATAAAATATATAAAAGATGGTAAAACAAGCTAAAATAGATCAAAATCACTTAAAAGCTGTACTAAAAAGGTGAGTCTTGATCCTGGTCTTAAAAACAAGTACACTCTCTATGGCCCTGAGGTCCTCTGGCAGACTGATCCAGAGGTGAGCGCCATAAAACTGGAAGGATGCCTCGCCTTGGGAGTGTGTTCTGACTTTTGGAATGACGAGGAGAAGGCTGCCAGAGGAGCGCAGGGACCGCGAAGGCTCGTATTTATGAAGCACGTCTGAGAGATAAGAAGGCCCAAGACCATTAAGACATTTAAAAACATTAAAAGAACCTTAAAATTGATCCTGAAACATACAGGAATCCAATGCAGCTTGTTTAAGACACGTGCAACGTGCTCCTGCCTCCTGGTCTTCGTCAGGACACCAGCTGCTGAATAGGAGTTGTAAACCTGAGGTACTCTATTTGGGAAGACCAGATAGCAGGGCATTACAGTAATCAATTCTACTGGTGATCAAAGCATGCATCAGCGTCTCTGTATTGGCCAGATAGGGAAAGGGGCAGACTCTGGCGATGTTTTTCAGGTGATAAAAACCAATTTTTGCAATGTTCTTAATGGCGGGGATAAAAGTTAGCTCAGAATCAAAAATCACACCCAGGTTCTTCACTTGAGAAGACTTCGGTTTTGTCCAGGTTAAGCTGGAGAAAGTTTTCTGCCATCCAGGATTCAATATTCGAAATGCAATTAAAAAGGGCATCAAATGGTTGTGCGTCATCAGGAGACACAGAGATGTACAACTGTGTATCATCTGCATAACTGTGAAATTGTACTCTGTGTAGTCCGATGACATCACCAAGTGGAAGCATAAGCATATACAGATTAAAAAACACTGGGCCGAAAATCGAACCCTGGGGCACACCACATGTAATCTCAGGGGTCTTAGAACAGAAGGTATCTAGACTTACCATAAAAGTCCCGTCTGTGAGACACAAAGTAAACTATTTATGGATGGCACCAGGGGCGGCGTTAGGCCCGGCTACTTGGGCTCAAGCCCCGAATGTTTTATGAAAAGACTAAGTGTGTGTTACGTGTGTATGTGCACACACGTGCGCGCGCGTGTGTTACGCCCCGGATCTTTTTCAGTCCTAAATCCGCCCCTGGAGAGGCAGATGTGTTTTAACCGGGTTAAAAGAATGTTGTGGTCCACTGTATCAAAGGCAGCACTAAAATCCAGTAGAACCAGAACAGTTACTTTCTGTGCATCAAAATGTATTCTTAGGTCATTTAAAACTCTTAAAAATATGCATGTCATGCGTGTATACGTGCATGCGCTCGGAAGACGCTGGGGAGGATTGGAGAAGGGAGGGAGAGAGAGGGAGCGAGTCAAGTGGATTTAAAAACAGAAATTCCAGCACACATCATCAATGGTTTCCTAAAAGCCTCACAATGACAGCTGATGACATTAGAAATGATTATTGATGCGGCTGTTTGCTCCCTCGTGGCGCCTCAGCCAAGGAGCGCCAGGTTGCGCCGGAGCGCTGCGTCAGGAGCTTTTTTTTTCGCTTCTCAGTTTTGGAGACACACTCAAAAGCTCAGAGTGATGACCTGAAGATCAGCTCCGTCTCTTCTCCGGCAGCATTTCGTTAATCTAAATGAACAAGTTAACGCCTGAAGTGTGTGTGTGTAAAGGTTGTTTTATTTTTTACCAACATGGATTTTTGTTTTCCCGGAAAGTGAACTGGTTGGCGTGACTTCGCTAAATATGTTTGATGGATGAAAGATAACATGTCAGGAGAATTTAGTGACAGAAATGAGGAAGGCTCCTCCGGGACGGTCCTTTCTCCATCCTTCAACTCCAGCTGCGTTTTCAACAGCACCAACTGCTCGCACCGGGGCTTCCACATGTCAGACTTTGGGATAGCTGAATTTGTTGGAGATGGCGCTGCTGTCGTGAGGATTACTATCTCCGTCATTTACTCCCTGGTCTGTGCTCTTGGTCTGGTGGGGAACTTACTGGTTTTGTACCTGATGAAGTCCAAACAGATGTGGAGAAAATCCTCCATCAACCTTTTCGTGACAGGTTTGGCGGTGACCGACTTCCAGTTCGTCCTGACACTGCCGTTCTGGGCAGTGGAGAACGCGCTGGACTTCACCTGGCCCTTCGGCAAAGCCATGTGCAAGATAGTATCCTACGTGACAGCCATGAACATGTACGCCAGCGTGTTTTTTCTCACGGCCATGAGCGTGGCGAGGTACTGCTCCCTCGCCTCTGCGCTCAAAGGAAGGCGGCGGAGGACGCACTGTTCGTCCGCGCGCTGCGTCTCTGTCCTCATCTGGTTCTCCGCCGTCTCTGCCGCGCTGCCGCACGCGGTTTTCTCCACCACCGCGACCGTTTCCAACGAGGACCTGTGCCTCGTCAAATTCCCAGAAACAAACGGCTCGGCGCAGTTCTGGCTGGGACTCTACCACTCGCAGAAAGTGCTGCTGGGCTTTTTGGTGCCGCTGGGGGTCATCTGCGTGTGTTATCTGCTGCTTTTGCGGTTCATCACCAACAAAAACATCAACACATCGAGCGCAAAGCGGCGCGCCAAGGTCACCAGGTCTGTCACCATTGTGGTTCTGTCCTTTTTCCTGTGCTGGCTGCCCAACCAGGCGCTCACTGCCTGGGGCATCCTCATCAAACTGAACGCGGTGCATTTCACCTATGAGTACTACACCATGCAGGTGTTTGTGTTCCCCGTGTCCGTGTGCCTGGCGCACTCCAACAGCTGCCTGAACCCCATCCTGTACTGCCTGATGAGACGGGAGTTCAGAAAGGCGCTGAAGAATCTCTTCTGGCGCATGACCTCTCCATCTGTGACCACCTTAAGACCAATCACTGCCTCAATAAAGCCGGAGCTGGACGAGCGCGGACACGCGCTCGAGGTCGGGAACGCACCGGCGGCGCTGGACGTGGTGTTTTATCCCCCGGGGGCTGTCATTTATAACGACAGGCGAGACCTACCGCAGAACAGCACTTAGCGCCATGTGAAGACCTGGCAGCTGCGCTGATGGGGAATTATGCGCACCAGTTCAAGTGAAATACATTTTAACGAAAATTAAGGAGAAAACAGTGTTGGATCAATCACCATGCTCCTATTTGTCCACAGAATGAACACATCCAAACTTTCAACACTTATTTTGTCTTTTGTTCACTAGAAGCAGCTAAAACACCCACTCTGTTTTTTTAATGTGCTGTTTGTTCTCAAATGTCACAAATGTTTAGTAAAGCTGTCAGTGGAATGTTGGACACCTGCTGGTTCTCCTCTTTGATCAGGATGACATTCCCTGTTGAAGAATTTCATGTTCCAGATTTAAAACGAGGCCAGTTCCACAGAAGACTGATGGTTGGTCACACATCTCAACAAGACAGCTGAGGTTTCAAAAGCTGTTATTTCAAATAAAGAGTTGGACTGAAAAAAGACGCTATTGTGCAAGCAGGATAACTTCCTTCCTAGAATGCTTGAATTTGTTTTGGGGCATATAGTTATAATATTTTTATTTTTCATTCTAATTTGGGCAAATAAAGCCTATATAACATAAACTAATGATTTTAACATACAGCAGTCTAATGTTCTCCATTTGGATTTATTTTTATTTATTTTTTTTGCTCAAAGGATGTTTAAGAAATTACAGGAATTAAATGAATTTCAGCTGACCTTCTGGCTGAAAGGTCAAATAACACATTTGGAAAATTAATTGAAAAAAAAAGGATAATTATTCAAAACCTTTTGTTTAATAATTAACCTACAAAGATGTAAATCCATCCTTTACACCCGCTCATCCTTGCCGGGTCGGGCAGGGCTGGCGCCTATCCGCTGTCTGGCCAAACAAACAAATACATCCTGGACTTGTCAGTCCATCACTGGTCATGCAAATAATATTTCAAAATGAAGTTAAACACACATAGTTATTTGACTTATGTAAAATGTGTCATCTTTTATTAACTGAGACAAAGCAGGAATTCAGTAGAAATAAAAAAATAATAATAACAGAAGTCAGAATTTGATCTGAGCTGTGAAGAACTCACATTCATGTTTGCATCACTTGCATCCTTTTCTTTTTAAAGGCATGAACAACCCTAAATAAACCCCGGGCAACTTAATAATAATCTACAAATTACAGATGGTATATTTTCTGTGACTCAGTTACATTCTATGCATCCATGCTTGATTAATTAGCATTTATTTTGCCCATAGAAGAAAAACTGGATGAAGATCCAAAGCGAATGCAGCAAAATTATGGAATTTAAACGTGTCAAAGTGTTTAATTAAAAGCTAATTTGCTCTATCTGAGTGTTTTTGAGAGACAAAGTCACCAAATAGAAACACAAATAAATGTCAGCTTGGATTCAGAAACTCATCATTGACCCTCCTGTAAAACCCAAACAAGCAGTGCAAAGGAAAACAGCTTTGATTGTTCTTTGGCACATGAAAGCAAGGTTAATTTAATTAGAGAGAAATGAGGGAGACGGTGTGTGTGTGTGTGTGTGTGTGTGTGTGTGTGTGTGTGTGTGTGTGTGTGTGTGTGTGTGTGTGTACAGGTACAGGACCAGGCTAATAAATTGATACAACAGAGCAATCTGTCATGTGGGTGATGAATGTCACATCAATCCAGCCCCCCCCCCCCCCCCCCCCCCCCCCCCCGAGGAATCCCCTTTTGCCGGATTGAACAGCCTAAATCAAAATTAGGATTAGGAATTCAGATTCCAGAGTGAATTTTCTTCAGGGGATTTACTGATGTTCACCCTTCTGACTGTGGTGATGAGGAGGCTTTATTTGTCAGAAATGTTGAGAAACAACAGAAAAATAAATCTTTAATAAAACTTCTCCTTTGTTCTGTTTCATACGCGATCCTGCTTGTTTTTGTTTCCCCTCCGGAAAGGAAGTGTTGCCGCTTAGAAGTGAGAAACACTCAAACGCGGTGGTTTCAGATGCTGCAGCTGTCACTGCCAGAGTCGCAGTGAGCTATTACACGTTGTCAGGGGTGAGAACAAGCCTTGTGAGGCGAAGGATCACATTTGGAGCCTGAGAGCAGAGATGCTGTATAACGAGGGGCAAAGAAAGGTACCTTCATTCTGATCCAGACCTTAATGAAGAGAATAGTGTCCTGTAGCTCCCACCATCACCCCATTTTTCTTTGTCTTCTTGTGCATTAGATTTTCTGACATCAGCGAAACCTGCTGGTCCATTCTCCGGCGTGCAAAAGGTATATTCTGTGTTTTTGACATACAGTAGGATCAAAACTTAGGGCAGCCTTGTTAATCTTCCTGATTTTCCTGTACACATCGTTGGTTGATACGATAAAAATGTTCACTTAAATACATCATATACACAGTGATACTTGAGAAGTGAAGCAAAGTTTATGAGTTTTTACAGAAAGTGTGCAATAATTGTTTAAACAAAATTAGTCAGGTGCATAAATTAGAAAACAAATGAACTCAGTATTCAGTAAATCCTTCTTTAACAAAAATAACAGCCCCCCTTCCTAGAGCTTCCAATGAGAGTCTGGATTCTGGTCGAAGGTATTTTAGACCGTTCTTTACAAAACAGCTCCAGTTCATTCAGGTTTAATGGCTTCCAGCATGGACAGCTCTCTTTCCTTCACACCACAGATGCTCAATAATATTCAGCTCTGGGGACTGAGATGGTCATTCCAGAACATTCTACTTGTTCCTCTGCATGAATGCCTTAGTAGATGTTGAGCAGTGTTTAGGGTGGTTGTCTTGTTGACAGATCCAGCCCCGGTGCAGCTTCAGCTTTGTCACTGATCCCTGGACATGCAGAATCTGCTGATATTGAGTGGAATCCATGTGTCCCTCAACTTTGACAAGATTCCCAGTCCCTGCACTGGTCACACAACCCACAGCATGATGGAACCACCACCATGTTTTACTGTAGGTAGCAGGTGTTTCTCGTCCATGCATAACGCCCCTTGTTATTCCCAAATGACAGTTTAAGTTTTATCAGTCCACAGCACCTTATTCCAAAATGAAGCTGGCTAGTCCAAATGTGCTTTAGCAAACCTCAAGCAGCTCTGTTTGTGCTGTGGGCGGAGAAAAGGGTTCCTCTGCATGACTCTCACATACAGCATCTCCTTGTGTGAAGTGCACCGAATAGTTGAACGATGCACATAGACTCCATCTGCAGCAGGATGATGTTGTAGGTCTTTGATGCTGGTCTGTGGGTAGACTCTGACTGTTCTAACCATTCTTCACTTTTGTTTATCCCAGATTTTTCTTCTTCTGCCACTTGGAGCCTTAACCTGAACTGTGCCTGTGGCCTTCCATTTCCCCTTAAATACGCTTTCTCATAACAAACGAATTCTGAGTTCCAATAATTAGTTCTAAAGGTTTTGGAATCAATAAAATGGCACTTCCTGTAAATCCTATAAACTTTGTTTCACTTCCCAAATATCACTGTGTGTGTCTCCTATATGATATGAAATGAAATGTTTTATCATAACAGCCAACGGTTTATACAGGAAAGTCGTGGAATGACTTTAAGGAATGTAATTTTTCTTGGCAATTCTTTAAAAAAATGAACTGAACTTCTAATAATGAAAGAAAAAGTTTAGGGGTTTGTTTTGAAGGTATTTACAGCTTTCTTAATCATTTTGAGAACTGCTAAAACAAAGCAGGATTTGATAAAGGAAAAAAAAATCCTTAAAGGAATACTTCTCATCGGCTGTCTTTTGTGATCGAGTTTTAAACTAAGACATGTAGGGTTATACTCATTCACCTTTGACCTTTTGCTAGGATATGAAATGTAATGAGAACAGGTGAAATTAAAAAATATAAGTAAAAGTTTATTTCAGTAGTTCAACCTAAAAGGTGAAACTAATTTATGAGATAGACTCATTAGATACAAATCCAGATATGTCAGCCTTTATTTATCATTGTGATGCTTATTCTTACAGCTTATGGAAACCCCTAACTCAAATTCTTTAAATATTCTAGGCTCACATCCATGGCTAGTTCCTGAGCTTCAGATGACTAGCAAGATTGACTTACAGTAATGTCTCGTCGTCGTCTTCCTCCGCTTATCCGGGTCCGGGTCGCGGGGGCAGCATCCCAACTAGGGAGCTCCAGGCCGTCCTCTCCCCGGCCTTGTCCACCAGCTCCTCCGGCAGGACCCCAAGGCGTTCCCGGACCAGATTGGAGATGTAACCTCTCCAACGTGTCCTGGGTCGACCCGGGGGCCTTCTGCCGGCAGGACATGCCCGAAACACCTCCCCGGGGAGGCGTCCAGGAGGCATCCTGACCAGATGCCCAAACCACCTCAACTGGCTCCTTTCGATCCGGAGGAGCAGCGGTTCTACTCCGAGTCCCTCCCGAATGTCCGAGCTCCTCACCCTATCACTAAGGCTGAGCCCGGCCACCCTACGGAGGAAACTCATTTCGGCCGCTTGTATCCGCGATCTCGTTCTTTCGGTCATTACCCAAAGCTCATGACCATAGGTGAGGATTGGGACGTAGATCGACCGGTAAATCGAGAGCCTGGCTTTCTGGCTCAGCTCCCTCTTCCCCACGACAGATCGGCTCAGCGTCCGCATCACTGCAGACGCCGAACCAATCCGCCTGTCGATCTCCAGCGACAGGCTTACAGTAATGTGTTTTTATATAATAATAAAAGAACAACAACTTAGTCTCAAGTTCTTTATATAATTGCAGTGATTTAGTAATAATAATGTCTAGGAAGCAAACTCCACATCCAGCATATTTGTTATTGCAACACTTCAAACTTGGCTTAAGTCATCTGAGGTGAAACTAACCCGGATAAAGAAACAACAGGTTAGATAAGGAGCTGGATTTTTGAGACTGACAGGGACGGAAACAGAACAGTGAGTGGTGACTCATCCCAAGGAGAAGTGATAATCTTCTACCAAGACGCTGCACAGGCTGAGCTGTGTCTCCTTGGTCCAGGATAAAGGGAACTGTAAGGCCATTGCATCAGAAAAAGAGGAAAAGGGCTGAAAAGTTTCCTTGGAAAACTTAAAACTTAAATGAGACAGAAAATGTAAAGTTTGCCTACCATCTGGCAGAGAAGACTGAGGCTTTATAGCAGGAGATAATTACAGAGGAGCAGCTGGACACCCAGTGGACAAGAAACTCCTCCCTAAAGTTAAACAGGGAGCAACAGGATGAGATGATTGGAAGGTTTGGAAAATAGACTGATACTAATTTCATCCACCAATTGATGCCATCATGGAATAGAACTGAAATATAATTTTTACAGTTTTTTTCGATTGCTAAAACTCAAAAATCAAAAATGAGGCACGAATTTTACAACCTCTACTTCAATTCCCAATCGCCTGACTCCATTTATCACTACTTAAGATTGCCTTATCATATTAGCTCTCTGATTGTCCTCCTTTACACTCTGATGTCAATTTCACATCACCATGCTGTCAAAGCACAGCACACAATTTTCACGTTTACACACACTTGTCAAACAAACTCTCAAAGCTTCAATCAACAACACACAAATATTCAAATCTCTAAACTTTCATGTCTGGTGAGCAATTTGCAATCAGGGACTGCAGCATAAAAGTAAGTTTCCACAAGGCTACCCAGGTGTATGAGCGGTTTCAGGACCACCCACGGTTTTCCATTTTATACCTTCCACCTTATTCCCCCTTCCTCAATCCCATTGAGGAGTTTTTCTCAATCTGGAGGTGGAAGGTGTACGAAAGGAATCCACAGAGCCAGGTCCCACCGCTTCAAGCCATGGAGGAGGCTTGTAGAGATGTGGCCTTTGAGGCCTGTCAGGGCTTCATGAGGCATTCGAGGTGGTACTTCCAGCGCTGTTTGGACCAGGAGGACATCGCCTGTGATGTTGATGAGGCCCTCTGGCCAGACAGAGACCAGAGGCATGATGCCCCATGATTATGCTTGAATGGGAGAGGGGGTGGAGGTGGTTACTGTAACTGTAAAAATAAAATGTTTTGTCTCAAAATTTGTGTGATGTCTAATGTTTGTCTCAGAGAAAAGTGGGCACTGTCATACATTCAGTGTGTAATTCATTGTGTTCCCTTTAGACAATTGTGTTTTCAGTTTTGCTCTTCAGTGTTCTTTCCATGCTTGGTAGTGTTCACCCAAAGGCTACCTGTGTTTAAGCAATGAATGGTATGTGTGTGTCATGTGAAAATGTGGCTGTGTTTACCAAATGAAAACACGTGTTCCATTTTGGGAACATGTTACGATATGTGATGGCAGGGTTTTGTTGCAAAGGGAAGCCACGGTTTAGCAATTTGTGTGTTATGTTTGGGGTTTTGTGTGTGCAGTTTTGAAAGAAACGTACAGTTTTGAAAAACGTGTTTTAGCAATCGAAAAAAAACTGTAATAATCGTGGAAAATGAATTCTGAGATCTACACACAAGAAAATGCCAACCATGGAGTTCTGATTGCTAAGTAATATACAAAAGATATTAAAGATGTATTTAATCAGCATTTGCAGAATCATGACCTTGGATTTAAAGGTGCTGAACCACATCCCAGCCAATTCACGCACAGCTGTGAACCTCCCCAGCAAAGGTTGACGGTTACTAATTCCATTTTTGGTTCTTTTTAAAACACAGGAAAGGTTTTTCTTTACTTTGCTGACGTACGTTT